TTTTTCCCTAGACACCGTTGCAAGGAGCAAATATTATAGATTCTCATAGTGTGTGATGAGCAAGCAAGGGATGTAAGAACTAAGAAGGTTGTGGTGGAGGAGGAACACCCTCACTTAGATGCGGTAGAAGTCTTATTGAACTTGGCGATGTGATTTATATCGAACCACGCTATGAAACTTTAGGGGCGGATCGGAGAGCAAGACTAGTTTTGTTGATAGATAATGAGGCACCCACAACTTCATCTCTACTCAAATAGTGAAAGAATTGGGGCTTGAGATGGTGGGCGCATAAAGTTTTGGAGTCATGATGAAGACAGTACAGGTGGAGAAGTGCAAGGGAGTTTGTAAATGAGTTAATTTAACACAGTCAAACATTCGTTGATGGAAGATTCTCTTTCCTTGGATTTAGGTCGCATTGACGTGATTTTGGGTATGAAATTATTACAATATCTAGGGAAGACTAAGATGGATTGAAAGTTTTGACCATGAAGTTTCAAAATGGAGATAAAATGGTGGTGCTTCACGGCTACCCTAGTTTGTGCAAGTCCCTGATTTCAGATGATCCATCGAAGGTTGCGTATAGGTTGGAGGGGCCACTATCTAAGACTTGGAATGGGTTGAGAAGGTTTATGAGACTTACAGGATATTATTGGAAATTTGTGCAGGAAAGTTTGTAATGAGTGATTTTAGTACTGTTTGGTATACATGTTATGGAAGATTTGCTTTCCTTGGATTAGGGAGCACTAGCGTGATATTGGGTATAAAACTGTTATAATACGTATGGAAGACTAAGGAATTGGAAACTTTTGACAATGTAGTTTCACGATGGAGATAAGACGGTGGTGCTTCGCGGCGACCCTAGTTTGTGCAAGACCCTGGTTTCAGCAGATCCATAGAAGGTGACAGATAGGTTGGAGGGGCTACTACCTAAGACTTAGAAAGGGTTGAGAAGGTTTATGGGACTTACAGGATACTATTGGAAGTTTATGAAGGGCTATAATTTGATTGTGTGGCTGAGTACGAAGAAATTGAACAAGGATAATTTTCAGTAGAGGAAAGTAACGACTTAGATTTTTGAGTAGTTGAAGGACATGATGAGTGTGCCACTGCTGATGATGAGGCCATACTGAAGCCATTTTTTGAGCAGGAGGCACATAACTTGATTCGGCAGTAGTTTTTCTCACCTTGAGGATAATGTGACTTCTTGGGAAGGAAGTATTATTATGTTAGTGCCTAGCCTAAGTGCAATTTTGTCTTTATTATTTCTTATTGTTTGTTATAAATAGTGCTTAATAGTTTAGGGTTAGGGGTTATGCTTGAGATTGTGTCTTCTATCTTAGGATTAGGGTGTGAGAGAAATGTCCTACCTCTTGAATTATAGGATTTGGGAGATCTTGCCTATCTCTTAAATTGTAATTGTTTATCCTTTATATGCTTGTGTTATTAAAGAAAATAATTGCTTTTACCCTAATTTTTGTGTGAAAATCTGTGTCAGCTCTTAACACAATCTTACATCCCTAAGTGTGTTTTACAAACAAAGTATGATTATCTTAACTTTGTTAATACCCATTAGATCTCATAGTTTTAGCAAATCTTTCAAATCACTGTTTTGATTATTGTTTAAGTTCATAAAGAGACTTCCTGAGTTTGCATACTTAGTATTTATTGCAATCATTGTCTAAGTCTTGGCGGTCCCTCCATATACACCTCTTTCAGATCACCATTCAAAATTTATTTTTTGTCAAGTTGATGCAATATTCAGTCCATGTTAAATGCTACTGGAAGGAGAACTCTGATAGTGTTAAGTTTAACAACTGGAGCGAAGGTCTTCTGATAGTCAATCCCATAGGCTTGAGTGAAATATTTTGCAATACGTTTGGCTTCGAATCTTTGAATAATCCCATCAGCTTTGTATTTGATGTTGACACCCATTTTCACTCATCGGGCTTCGTATTCTAAGAGTTTATTAAGAATCAACGTATCATTATGTTTTAGCGCTCGAATCTCCTCTTTAACTGCTTTTCTCCATTTTAGATTTTCAAGAGCTTCATAAATGAATTTAAGAATCTGCATACTATCAATGTTAGAAACAAAAATTTTGTAGGATGATGATGGTTTCTCATAAGTTATATACTCCTGAATAGGATGATAAAATTAATCTGAAGAATATTGAATTTGACCATATAGCTTAAACTTAAATTGACTTAATAAAATCTAAAACTATGATTAAAAGAACTAAACAATTAAATTACTTATAAATAAATAAAATTTTAGTAGTAGACAATAATAAGACAAATTTTCTAATATAGAATTTATTCATTTTACTCACTTGAGCATGAGATACGAGGAATAAGAAGGCTTACGGATATGAAGACCTTTCTAGAATAAAAATGTGATTAAATTTTATAGGGCTAGGATTTTCAACTTGATTTGAAGGAGATGAGGAGGCATGACCCTTCATAGTTACGAGAGACATAAACAGGGAGGGAGCAAGTGAGAGGTTTGGCGGTAATGAACAAAACAAATGAGTAATGTTCTTGACAAATGTACCCTTAAATAAATACCTTAGGTAAAGATTGAGATCGATCAGTTAGAGATTGAAAAGGTTTTGTAAAAAGGGGAAGACATTTTGGCATGCACACTAGGAAGTCGACCGGTTGGAGTCATGGTTTAGATCGTGTGATTGGTCTACCTGACTTTTCACTGGTTTGATTCATTAGAAACCACCTCTTGAAAAAAAATGTTCTCTTAATTCATACTTTGGTTTCAAAATGCTTATTGGTACTTTGTAATTATCACTTTTCTAATCTTTCTTGTTATCTCTAGATCTAACTGATTTGTCCAAAGTGCCTTCATAAATTGAATTGGTTGATTATTAAGCTATCAAATATCATGATCTAAAATATGCTCTAGTATTTCTTCATAAATCAGTTTATGTAGAATTAATATTGTCCAGATTCAAAGAATATGAAAATTATCATATGCGTTATGAGGAAGATGAAAAAATTATGCACTTCTGCAAGTTTTGGAGGAAAAGTCAATCAATGAGAAATTCGAACAACTTTCTTAATCACTTAAAAAAAATTCAATGATGTGAGAATGAGGTTTTTCTCTTTTGTTGAATCTTGTAACCTCACGCATAAGTAAAATATTAAGAAATATCAGATCTCCTATCTTGAACTTAATCCCTTTGTGCTTAAGGACAAAAAATCTTTTTCGAAATTCTTGATTTAGTTCATCGGTAACACAAAATTGATAATAAACTGGTCACTCAGTAATCAAGAGACTTTATTGGAATCAATTTTGCATAAAAAAAATTTTCATTGATCTTTTTTTATTAATTTTATAGAGTTGATGAATTAATTAGAGAAATTTAATACTCTAGGATTAATTAGCTGCACACAAACAGTCAAGGGATTATTCTAAGATTTAATTTAAATAAGTTATTAAATTGATAAAATGATGGCTTGTCTAAATACTAAAAGGCTTTTAACATGGATTTTTTAGAAATTAATTATTTGAAAGCTTGATCATATAAGATTGTTCAATGAATTAGGATTAGTTAATATAATTTAGAAATAAAAAAAGTATTAGTTTAATTTTTAAAGTGATTGATTTAACTTTAAATTATAAAGTTTGAATCATCTATCAATGTCTAATGTTTTTATCTCTTTCCACCTCCTTTGAGATTCACATCCAATTTGTTTTGTGCATAATTTCTAGACCGTTGTATTAATCTTATTCATGAACCATTATTGGATGTGAAATCATATCCCGCCACTAATGGTGGATACCAGAGTTTCCATGTGCGGCAAGGAGAAAATTTTGCATGTGATGACTATGTAGGACGTGCAACAATTATGCCTAGATTTGCTTGGTGAATCACTCAAGGAATTCGTTTTTTGAAGTCGAGAGGAATTGGTGCGATTTATTATTTTATGCCAATTTTTATGACTTAATATTATTGCAACTATTGCGATTTTTTGGTTTTTTAGCACATGCGGCTTCTACGGCCTTTATTTATGTGTTCTATAGTTTTCAATTAGTGATAACTGTAACATGATCTTTAAGTCCTCTATGTCTTGATCTCCAACTCCAATGGTTCTTTGTTTTGCAGTTCTATTTGTGACTGATTACTTCGTACTGTTACGCAGGCTTAGAGGATACTTCTGCAAGTCCTCCGTTTCTTCTTATGTCCGTTGCCTTATTTTGACGTTAGTCACATTCTAGGAGAGAATGAGTTAGACATTACCGTTATTTGAATACAGGCAGTGGAGGAGATTTTCAATTAGTTTTGTAATCATAAATAGGATTCTAAGGCTCATACAAAACTTATTATTAGCACTTAAATGAAGGCTTTAGGTTAGATGTGCAATTCTTTCAACTATGTGATTCAATTCCTTGATTAAACTAGGGGTTCGAAGATTTTCAGGAGAATTTCTCCTTGTATAAGCATGATACCTGGTAAATTCTTTCCTTTTTCTTCGCATCTTGTTCATTCATGTTTTCATGATTTGTCATTATTTCTGTGTTCGCACTCAGAACTCTATTTTTTTGTTCCTTAAATTATGTATCTTGTCACCTTAGAATCATTGATGAAATTATTGTTTAGGGACATTTAAATACATATCACACAATTCTTATGAATTTACATAACTAACGCCTAAGCTTTTTTTTTACACTTATAACACTTTGGAGTCATAAACCTATGCATGAAAAGCTGTATTTCATTTTTAAAAATTTAGTGATGGTGCTATTTTTGATGTTGTGTTAAAGATTTGAGTGAAGATTTGAGTGGTATGCACTGCACGTAAATATGAATGTTTAGGTGTTACATATGTAAATACATAAGAATTGTGTGGTATGTATGTAAATTCCCCTTCTTTTTTTCTGGAAGCATTCACAGGTTCTGCAGTATTGCTAATCCACCTTAAATTTACTTTCTGATTCATCTCTACTCAAACAAAGAATTACACTGCGACAAGTTTTCTTTGTTGCAGAGAGATACTTCGGGCTTAACATCTGAAAACAGGGAACTCAAACTGCGCTTGCAGGCTCTGGAACAGCAGGCTCAACTTGGAGATGGTAATAGCCTTCTAAATTTCGTTCTTGACTTCCTAAGCATCCTATTAGGAAGATTTACGTACATACCACTCAATTCTTTTGTATTTACATATCTAAGACCTAAACTTCAATTTTTACATACATGCCTCCTTCCCCATGCATGACAAAGAGTATCTCACTTCTTAAAAGTTATAATAGTGGTTTTTTTTTATGTGATATAAAAGATTATTGATGGTGTAAATTTAATAATTAAACTTTAGGTGTTAGATATGTAAGAATTGGGTGGTATGTGTAAATATGTAAATGCCCCTTCTTTTTATTGAAAACCTCATAAATCATAATTTGGAGTTGTGCAGCTTTGAATGAGGCATTGAGAGAAGAAGTTCAACGTTTGAAAATAGCGACCGCACAGTTTTCTAAAGGTCACGAAAGCTCCTTCAATAGCGGTTTTGAGCAGTCAATCTCTCCATTTTATGCTCATCTTCAACAGCTTCCCAGTCATGGTGGGAGTTTTATGTGAGTATTCATAAAACCCATGCATGAATTAATTATCAGTGAAGTTTTTGTCTAATTAATTCAATGCAATGAATTTCTTCGTTGTTTAATTATATCATTGATTATGGTTTTGCTGCTCATAATTCAAGCAGTTGTATGTAATAATCATGTCATGCAGTGATATGCTTGCCTTCATGCCCCTTTTGAGATATTCTATAAACTTTGCTGCCTTTTTGGAGAAGGCAGTAGTTTATATGATAATTAATTTTGTGCTGCTACTTCTACTCTCTTTTTTGTTGCTATATTAGTTGATGCTGATTGTGACTGATTTTGTATTTACTTTTCTATATCTTAAGTTTACTTTTTTTACATTTCTACCGCCCAAATCTTTTGTATCGCATTAAAAAGAGAAAATATTATATACAGTGAAACATAATGTGTATCTGTCTTCAGCCGTACATATGTTCATCATATACATAATATTTTCTCCATAAAAAATATCAATATTTTAATTTAAAAGTTAAATATGCTTTTTCATGCATAGGTAAGGTATGAAAATTGAAAATTAGGAATAAGATAGGTTAATACATGGGAATTGAGTTGTTGCATGTAAATATTCCTTTGTTGTATTAGCTAGGCTTTATGTTGATCTCAGCATAGTTGTTGGACTATGGAGACTTGAAGCACAAAATCAAGTGATTACTCTGATTACAGATTGTTAAACTATAGCATGGATAGGAGAGGGAGAGTTGTAGTGTTGTAGAAGAGAAATATTTGCGTACGTACATATTAGGTTATTAGGAGGGTACATGTATGTTACATTTAGGTTATATTCTTTGTAATTTTTTATGTAACCTGAGTGTAACTTAGATGTACCCTCCGAATAATCGAATATGTACACAAGTCTGAATATGTTTTACGTACACAAATATTTCTCGTTCTAGAAAGTGGCTGTGCAGGATATCATATTATTCCAAAGTAAAAAATCTTGTATCATTATGATCTAAAATTAAATAAAATGGGTTTCAGATGTCATTAAATTATACATATATAACAACCAATTCATATGTATTTATTTATCTAACATACAAATTTTTTTATTTATATGTATAACACTCAATTCTGTAATATCACATTAAAACTATTATTATTATTATAAGTGAAATATACCTTTTGGTACATACATTTATAACATGAAAGTTTAATTATTAAATGTATAAATACATAAGAATTTGGTACTATTGAGGTATATATGTAATTTTCAGATGTGCTGGCGCAAGAGAGAACACGTTCATATATCATGTGATTGCGTTTATACCAGCTTTTGTCTCTTTATTTGTCATTTAAAACAATAATAACAGTAATAATATTTACAAATAAATTGTGGACTTTTTCTCAGGAAATTTGTCCATATCATCTTCAGATGAGCATGCATTTTACTTAGATATATATTTAGATGATGCTAATTAGATCATGCAGAAAGACACGTCAGATTGCTATCAAGTAATACAGATATTCGGCTTTGCTGCACTATTTCTTATTTATTCTATCACTAGCGTCCAAGGTATTTTTTGGCGGGCATTTACACTAGTGTCACTCAATTTCTATGCATTATTTTCTCAATGACAGCTTTCTAACTACGATTTGATTTAAATATATATATATAACAATATTGTAACTTTTTGAGCATCAAATTATTATTTAATAATTTCAAAATTATTTTTTAATAAACTGCAGCTGCATCAAATAGACTCTTAATGTGCCTACTATCTAGAACTTAAAGGTAGACCTCATCCATGTAGGATGAGCTTAATGTGTTAAACATGACATAAAACTACAAGTAAATGATGCACTCTTTTCAATAACTTCAAAATAATTGTTGAGAAGAGTGATTTAAAGAATTATCAAATATATCAACATTAGGATCTCTTTATAGTTTAAAAGCTTAAGGGTGATAAGTTTGGGACAGTTGTTGTTGTTTGAAGTAGTTGTGAAGTTGTTGCGGAAAAAATTGTTGTCCAAGAAATTGCGGTGACTATTATAATTTTTTAAAAAATTTTTAAAAAGTTGGATCATAGTTTTCTTACAATTACCACACTTAACCATATCGAATTGTAAAACACAACTTTTTCGGCTACAGCTCCTGAGAAAGCTGCGAGAAAGTTGTTTCCCCAAATGCCCCAACTATGCGATCAAGACTGTATCGCACAGCCAACGCTCTCTCAAACATACCCTAAGTTTATCAACAAGAATCCAACATTAAATATATTTTTATTATATGATTTGAAACTTAATTCAAAATCTTCTAGAGTTGGAAGGGATTTATAGATTTGAGCATGAAGAGATCAAGTCTAATAAGTGCCCAAAAGCAATTTTTCTATCTTTAGATGGGTGGCATTAAACTAAAAAAAAATACCATCATAAAGCTTGCTATTAAAAATGAAAATCAAATCCTTGTAACAATATGAGAAAACAAAAAGTAACATTTTTGCAATTGAGGTCCCCTTGCAAGTACTTCAATATTAATTAAAAGTCATAGGAAGATTTACAAGCATAGCACTCAGTTCCTATGTATTTACATATCAAACACCAAGAATTATATTTTTACATAAATGCCACATTACCTGTACATAAAAACGTGTGTTTCGTGTTTTAAAATTTAATATGGTGTTTAGGTGTTAGATATGTAAATACATAGGAATTGAATGGTATGTATGTAAAAGCTCTAATGCATCCCTTCAGAGTTTTTTTTTTTCACTCGAATTCAAATTTTTGCCTCTCAAGAAATAAATTCCTTATTAAAAAAGAGAAGGAAAAATAAAAAATAAAAACTCAATCCATTCGTAATAAATTTTATATATTAGGAATATAAAAATATTTGCCACTACTTATAAAGAAAAAGTGCCTTAGTCAAATAATTTGAAATTGGAAAATATTGAATCTTGAATTATCCATCGTGAAAACACGCCTCGAAAGTTAGAGTCGCGAGGAGGATGAGAAAGAGAGTAAAGTAGTTAAGGAAGTCCACGCAGAGAAACGAGGAGAGGTCTCGGATTTATGCATCCTATTTATAGATTTGTATTTGTATAATTATAGAGAGAAGGGAACGGTAATAGAAATCGTCCTTAATGCAATTTAATCTTGTGGATTTGTTGTCAAATCTGTATTACAATCTGAATTCGAATGTGGTGGTAAATGATTGGTCGACGCGCGTGAATTTGGTCAAGGCGACCGGTCGAGTGTTGATCGTGCCGGCCGAAGTAAAAGGCCCGTAGGTCGATATATTGTGGTCGGGCACCCTTGTCAAAAGTATAGGCAGTCCAAGACTGTACGTGTGACCCGTCGGTTGAATCCCTCGCCATAATGTGTTGGATGGCTCCGACGGAGCTATCGGTTGTTGAATGGTCGACTTGAATCACGTTCTTGTAGTCTGATGCCTCAATTGTCTGACCATCATCCTGAGCCACTCGATTGCTTTGAGATTCGTGTTGACGGTTTTGGTGCATACATATTAGTTTATCTAATATTTTCTCTTCTTGAAAGTGACATCTACGATAAAACAGGAAAAATATTAATAGCAAATGACACTAAAATCAAGAAAATTAATTTAGTAGAGTCGTGGGCTTGGCATAACCTTCGTTCTCATCATTTTCTCCTAAATAGTTGAGCTGTGTCATGGCCGATAGTTCGAACCGGATCACCGTGGACCCAAAATTTCTAGCTAAAGGGGCTAGCGGGTCTCAGACCCTGCAATGAAGAAAAACATTAAGAGGGAAAGGCGATCATGATCTGAATCTGTGTCAGTGAATCGGGTCTATTCATCCAGGGATCGAAAGTCTCTCGTAAGGAGGCCATGGTTCCTGACCCTGACAACCTCTTAAAGTATCGAGGCGGTCGTTGATCAAAGTGGCATCGTTGCTGACCTTGGTTGCCTCAGCTACCCTTTCTGTTGTCCCGTGATATCGGGTCATTGTTCGATCGTTAGTAAAGGAGTCAGTCCCTCTTTGGCCTTCTGTCGTCATCTAGGTCCTTTCATTTTTGTGGCTGGTGGTGCTCTCGGTTTAATTTCCTAGAGCTCCACCAGGTATCCTTAGGCAGCCTGTAGTCATTTGGTAATTCCAATACCTCTATGAAGGTCGTTAGCTTTAGTAAGTTTAGGTCGTACATGAATCGCTTGCTGCAGATCCCTTGTTTCAGGGTGGTCCAAGCGATGAGAAGCTACAAGTTCTTTGCCTCCAAAATTTTCTTTTGGAAGCGAGTGATATAAGTTGTAGGCTTTTGCTCTCTCTCCTTGCATTATCTAAAGTAAGGTCTTTGTATCCTTCCTTGGCTTCTATACATTAGCAAAGTGTGCCAAAAGAGCTTACAAAATTTGAAGAACGATGGGATGACTCCATCCGATAGGCTATTAAACCATCGGAGCGCGGCTTCGTTTAGTGTAGTCAGGAATAACAGACATTTCATGGCGTCATCGATCTGCAGGACTCTGACCGTCCACTCAAAAGAAGCGAGGTGATCTTTTAGGTCACCATTTCCTCTGTAGGAGTCGAATTGGGGAATCTTGAGCTTCGTCGGGGAATATTGTTTTTAGGGTCCTTTGGGAGAAGGCGCTACCCATAACTGGCTGAGAAAATGTTTCCCCTCGGTCCATCCGATGTGAGACTATCAATGCAGATGCTACGATGCTGCCGGATGGAAATCTTTTGGTATCTTTGTTGGTCGATAGCTAGGCCAACTGTGGGGCGTCAGCGGATTATCAAGGGGAGTCTTTTGAGGGCAGGTTTCCCAAGACTCTCCCTGCACAGGCGGCATCCGGGAGCTCTGCAGGATTCTTACTGCCTGAATATCCTCAAACTGGTCCATTATTTGTGTTCGCAATGTCTGGATCTCTTCTGTATGTCGCGGTGCACCGTGTCGCGGTGCACCATCTCTCTATTGAACTCAATGGGCAATGTTTCTCTCCGCCTCTGCAAGGATTCTCTTTCGTAGTTGGCTTCGCTTCTCGTATGGGGCATGTTCACACTCACCGCACCATCCTTTAGAATATTGAATGCTTCTTTTTGGAAACATGTCATGAGAGTTAGAGTGGGGAGAAGGAGGATGAGAAAGAGAGTAAAGTAATTGAGGAAGTCCCTGCAGAGAAATGAAGAGAGATCCCTTTATTCGTCGTTGTGCATCCTATTTATAGAGACGTATTTGTACAATTACAGAAAGAAATTAATGAATATTGAAACTATCTTTAATGCAATTTAATCGTGAGGATTTGTTCTC